GCAAGCATAATGACCTTAGTGTGGTCTCCAAATGGGAGAAGTAACCCAAAGTAATTCATAAAGAAAAACAAATATATTTACACGTGTATACATTATTTTTTTTGTTTTTTTTTTTTTTGTTTACGGAACATTAGAAATCGTCGCTCCTTTACCAATTTGGTAATGTGGAGGTACTTGTAGCTTTTTAGGTTTTGGCTGAGGACTGGCGTAAAGTACAGATTATTCAGACACGAGGATTATATATACATTAATGTACATTGATACTATGAATGCTTAATGGTGATAAATCACAAATCCCTGGGGATAGAATTTTTATCACCTCAGGACATCAGAAAGATTATAGCTATTAGTCTGTACTAACCATAGCTTTTCTACTAACAGCATGCACAATGCGCCACAAGACCTGAGGGAAGCAAATTGCAGCACCGTTTTTTTCTTAATGATAGTGACTGCGCATGCTCAGGTACTCCTGACATAAAGAGAGTGCAACATTTAACCCCTTTCTATATAAATATATTACAGAAAAAAGGAAAGCAATATGAAGCATTGGGAAATAAAAGAACTGTAGCTATTTGAAACGTTTTCAATTTCGTCTTGATATTTTGTTTCAGAAAGATCAGTAACTATTAGTATGACCAAAATTTTAGATTATGTTGTATATTATTTTGGACTTCAATTCAAATTCAAGTCAATGGATAGTCCACTAATATAATAGCTATAAGAAAAATTTAAATGTAGTTATCTATTTCGTGATATTTGATGTATACTTGTTATATAAGTCTGATATCAATTATTGCTTTGATTTGTGAAAGCCAAATTTTTCTTTAATTCATACCCCATAACTAAAGTTACAGTATGTTGAATAAACGTTCTTAAAGGAAGCCGTTTTTTACAACTTTGTCTCTGAATGGCATTGGTATATGCGCTACTAATTCAATATCTCTTCCAAGTAAGATGGAGTTGCCAGTTTTTGCTATATTCATTTTACTAATTATTGGTTTAATATGTCCATGGCAAATTAGATTAAGACATTAATTTTCAGCCAAAGGAAGCAAATTAAATGTCTGAACTTATTTTCTAAACTTCCTAAACATCCTTTTCATTTTGTCTGTCGTTGATGAAGTTTTTAGATACAATTATTTCGATATTGCTTGGACTAATATAATTTTTGTATTATACCTTCAAATGGCATGTATTTCATCTTAAAAGATGCAAATTTTTTTATTTGTTTGACCACAATCAACAAAATTCCATACTTGGTGAATTATATATTTATATATAAGGGCATATACCTAATAGATATACACTAAACAAATCAGTCTGAGTGAAATCCATTGAGTGAAATTATTGAGTACATTTTCAGTCAATATTAGGCATTTTGATAATTTTACACATGTTTGACAATATTTGAATTTTTGAAGTTGTATCTATAACTAAAATTTTATGAGTGAAACTATCAATTCAAATATCAAAAATGTGTAGAGAGTAGATACTTATACTAATAGAGGAAAACTTCACTCAATCGGGTGGACAGAAATTGATAAATTATTGAGTGAAATTGAGTGAAAATAGGTCAAATGTTTCTTACAGTGTATATTTTTTAACTTTTATAACTTTCGTACCTACGCTTCTTAGGTTGTAACTCTGGTTGTAGTTATAAAATTATTAACATTTTTATTCACACTACTCTTCTTCTAATATAATACTTAATTTAAGGTTTCGTTACGTAATTGCTTCCTAATACTTCATTGAAAGTTCCCTTATTATCACTCAATTTTGTCTTCTTCTCAATTGCCATCTTTTCATATACCTACTGTCATAAATGAAACAGTAGGTATAAAAAAAAACTTAATCGGTCTTTTTTATACTTATAGAGAGACAGAGAGGAGTTGCTCAATTAAGTTTTCTATAATAACTTTTGCATCATGTCTGATGATAGTGTCATACCTATTAATAAAATATATAATGCGTTGTTAGCAAAACTGCGTGTATAATTCGCATTAAGTTTGATTGTAGAATAGTACCTATTGAGTGACAAAACAATGCACTCCTTTTTAGATTTCATGTACTCTATTTTCAATAATTTAATTTTATCTAATCAAAGGCTCCTGTTACCAGTAAACTCTTCTTCACATCGCTCTTATTATCCATACTGCTCACAATTTCCGTCCCTCCCCCTAATTCACTCTCATCTGTAAAAAGATGTAAATTTCTAATTCTTATTTAAATTAAAAAGGCGTGGTGAGAACAAGTATAATATACTAACTCATTATTTTGAGTAAGACTCCGTAAGAGTAAAGAAAGGGTTAACATAACTCCGATCTATCTCAAAAAAAAAAGAAAATTGCATTATATTTGTACAATAAGTACAATTATTGTTTTGGAACACAGTACAATCACTGCTTCTGAAAAAATTTAGCTTTAAGCAGATTATTTAAATTTTGCTATGTAAGCAAGGCAAAGTTATAACAGGAAGCCTTTAGAACGAAAAATCCACTTTGCTTGTATACCATGGTATGCAGAGGGTAAAAATAGCAGTACAATTACGCCCAAATGTCTAAAACAAGTTATGGGTGGCGTGGTTAAAATAACTACTAAATACTTAGATAGACTTTGCATGTAAAAAGAGTGAAAACCACACTTCACATGTTTCATGAAATGCGGACAAAATGTCAATACGACTACACCATATTTAGTCGGATTAAATCGATCGCATAGTGCCCCAAAATATTCTGCAAACAAATTGTCCGTGGTCAAGCTAGTTAAAACAGCTGCAATTTGGCTAGCTGAACGACCGTATACTGCTCCAAATCTTTAGCAAACAAAAAGTTTGAGGGCAAAGTAGTTAAAATAACTACGAAATAGCTAGCTATAGACTTTCCATTTAAGCGGAGTGAAAACCACTCTCGACATGTCACATGGAATACTGGCAAAAAACAAGCGGTTACGCCCTATTAAAACGGTCAAAACGACCGAATACTGCCCCAAATATTTGACAAACAAAAAGTTTGCCGGCAATGTAGTTCAAACAACTACGATATAGCTAGCTATAGACTTTCCATTTAAGCGGAATGAAAACCACTCTCGACATGTCACATGGAATCCTGGCAAAAAACAAGCGGTTACGCCCTATTAAAACGGTCAAAACGACCGAATACTGCCCCAAATATTTGACAAACAAAAAGTTTGCGGGCAAGGTAGTTCAAACAATTACGATATAGCTAGCTATAGACTTTCCATTTAAGCGGAGTGAAAACCACTCTCTACATGTCACATGGAATGCGGGCAAAAAACCAAGCGGCTACGCCCTATTAAGACGGTCAAAACGAACGTATACTGCCCCAAATATTTGGCAAACAAAAGGTTTGCGGGCAAGGTAGTTAAAACAACTACGATATGGTTAGCTAGACTTTCCATTTAAGCAGAGTGAAAACGGGCAAAAAAAAACAAAGCGGCTACACCCTACTAAAACGGTTAAAACGACCGTATATTCTGCGAACAAACGTTCGCGGTCAAAATATTTAAAAACAACTATGTACAATATGACCAGCTAGACCTTCCACTTAAGGTGGAATTTGCATTTCAGTGAGTCTAAAAACCCTGCTCTGCGCGTACCATCATATACGAGCTAGTATTATCAAGTCAGGGGCGGCTAACAAACAAATTTTAATGAAATACCTTCTCATCTTCTGAAATATTTTCCTTATATGTGATTTATCTCGGATTCGTGGAAATTCTTTTCTTATGCATAAATACACTACACAAGTCACAATGAGACACAAAACAGATAGGACCTGCACGTGCGGCACAAATAAATGAACTAGCTGACTAACAATAAGTAGTAATGGACTGTTACGAAACACTTTTTTCCTTTAAACCTGTGCGCGCGTCATGTATAAGTGAGACCTACCAATATGAATCATAGAAGAACGGAGATGCGAAAAATAATTATTTCAGAGTGTATTCTGGGCAACGCGTACTATTACCCTAACAAAATTAACCGCTACTTAAAATTGCATCCTGTATAATATATTTCATTTATTTTGAGTTTTGTATACATTTAATTTCTGTAGATATTCTAGTAACTGATTTTCTAAAAGAAGGCCACTTGAAAGAGCAATCCTTCAAATACAGAAATAAATTAATTAATATGTATTGTCTGAAGTCTTTGTCCTAAGCGATGTTATAGCTTTTAAAAACAAGAATAAGAAATAGTTTATTTGACATTTTGGAACATTATTTAGAATATGTACTATATGTCAAACCAAACTCATTTAAGTCCTCACGGTAGGATGCTTAGTGGGCAAAATAGTGGAGTAGGGAAAAGAACCCAAATTGTCTACATTTCTGCCTCATTTTAGTAATTTTGTTTTGAGCATTTCAGGGCTCAAATGAAACTTATCCAGCTGTTATATATCTACATATTTTTTCATTTAGTAGTACCTACTGTTCGGCTAGTTTGCTTTTTATTTTTATTCTATATCTTTATTTATTATTGACTAAATTATCTATGGATGGAGTGACTTTTGGTATCAAAGGAAATAATCATTTCTAATATTTGTAGAATTGTGAAACAGAAACCGATACTCGGTTTTCTAAAATTAACTCAATATTTTTAAAGTAACCTACAAATACAAGAACTAATATGTAATAAAAATATGTATTTAAAAAAAATCGACCCTCTCACATTCTTTTACCATTCACGTCAAAAGTTATACTAAAAATGCAAATCAGTACTTATAAGCAAACGTAAATTAGAATGGAGAACCATATATAATAATAATTAACGACCAAGCAATTATATTATATGTGGCTGGCTTCCTGTTTCTATATTAAATATGCACCTAACATCATCAGCAACCAAATCCTTAATTACTAAAGCCGATTTCTTCTCATACATGATTATATGTACAAAATTTTGTCTAGAGATATATTAGAATTATTATTTATTAAAAAACATTTATTGATTGATAAAAAACTAAATATTATTCATCTTTCAGATTTTCAAACGCCTGTGAAGATGCAACCAGAGAAACATCAACGTCATCATTCTTCGGACAGAGCCAGTGATTCTATTAGGGCCTATTTGTGGCCCGCTCTAATGTTACAAAATAATTGTGTTTACAAAGCCGTTGTTATTACAGGTGGTACTTAAGCCTCAGAAATGTTGATATATCTATTGTTTAAACTTGCTAATAGTATTATTACTTCGATTTATCTTTATATTGTATATGAAATGTACACTGACATTGTATTTAATTATTTACAATACAAATAAGATGTTTTAGAATTACTCTAGTTTTTAAATAAGGAACCTATTTTTAGATAAGTACAAAATTTTATAATAAAAATATGTTTTAATTACATTTTCAATTTTATTAATACTCCGTATTCTGCAATCTACATCCAGTATTCCTTACCGATATTCAAAAAATCGTAAACATATAACTCAATCAGAATTTTGAAACCTCAACCATAAATTTAAAATTGCTGCCCTATTTTTTGATTAGTTTTCTTATTGGTAAACATTATTTATAAATTATAAGAAAGTATAAAATACCTACACATAAAAAATGTCAAATTTCTTTATAATTAATTTCATGTTAATTATTTGGAATAATTTTATATTCATCCATTTACACCTTTTTTAAGTTCTTAGTTAAGAGGGCTCTATAGCAAATCGGCAACCAGCAATACATTTTTATAGATTTTATTATACAATTTATCTAAATATGAATCAATGCACAAATAACAGACTTTCCTCCATTCTAACGCAAATTTTCTATAAAATGGAGTTGATTTGAAACTCAAATTACTTTTAGTTGTAACTTGCCGCTTTTGAACAAACGGTATCATAAATTACAAATTTACACCAAAAAGTTATTTGAGTTTCAATGTTTCTTTAAATTTTATACCCCACCTGCAGCCGTTATTTTTAAAGACAAAACAAAAGGTGAAATATAAAATAGTACGAATTCTTCTGAATATCGCAAATTTAATAAAAATAATAATTCAAATATATTTTAAGAAATTATTTATTATATCATCTGCCATTGTTACTGTAAATACTTGCCTAAAATGATATAATAGTCAATTATGTTACTAATTTACGTTTTATTTAATTATAATTAGCTAAAAAAAATAATCTTATTTTTATCTTTGCTGATTATAAATTTTAAGTCCAGATATTTAGATATTACATTATAAAGCTATGTTTCATATTTATATTTTGAATCTATTTTTGTCTTTTTAGTTTATTGTGTGTAATAACATTCATTCTAATTGAAAAAGATACTACATGTAAAAAAATATATAATTAAATAGGTTCTTTAAAAAGACTAATATAAAATGTAATAGTATATTACGTAATAAGTGTTGTAAAAAGCATTTTACACACGAATGGAAAAGTTACGCACGACGCCGCGTATTACGTACTATACTTTACCTACGACCACTACTGTAAATACTTAAAAACACACCGTCTGCGATCAATGTACGATTCCTATTTTACGCACGGTAAAAAAATCGCACAGTTCGGTAAAAAAATCGTACAGTTTTCCTAGCAACCGCCTAGCAACGGTCAATACAAACAGTATTGTATTGACCGTTGCTAGGCGGTTGCTAGGAAAACTGTGCGATTTTTTTAACGTGCGTAATTGGAATCTTACATTGATCGCAGACGGTGTGTTTTTCAGTATTTACAGTAGTGGTCGTAGGTAAAAATAAAATGGTTAAGCCATGTTTATGATGCACGTAATCTATATAGGTGTACTCGTATATATCTATATGTAAATACAATGATAAATAAAATAATTCTAAAAATAAAAAAGGCGGGGCAGATTTAAAATAGGTAGGGTTTTTCATATGAACATTTCTCTCTTCGAAATACAAAATAATTGTTGGTAAAGTTTCGAAAACAAAATCTACTAAGTAATATTTTTCATTAAAATACAAGCAAAATTTTGTATCCTAATAATTTTTTATTCTAATCATTTTTAAGTCATTTTAACCATAAAAAAACAGTTTTAAATATATTAGCTAATTTGTTTTAGTTGGAGAAAATATTATAGAAGTGTAGATTTTCTTTTAATTTTCATCATCTTGTAGCTGGAAGAGGGGCCATTTTTGTAAAAATGTTTTCATGCGGAACCTTATTTATTTTCAAAAGTACTATCAAATAGGTAATCTAGAGTTTGATATTAAATCTGACTCACCCTGTACATAATAGCTTTCTTATATATAAACATTAGTATTTCAAAATTAGACTTTCTAAATCATAAACCATTTAATAGTTCTAAACTAAATTAATAATTTAAAAAAGTTTTCTATTAACTAAATTCGAAACAAAACTAGAATCTAAGATCAGTTTAATTAAATTTGCATAACCACAATGTATTATAAATATTTCTTAGTGTCTTACTTTAGAAAGAGAGAAATTCGTTCATAAAAAATAATAAATAATGATGGCTTTTATCTTGCTTGTTACGCCGCTGAACACATTTTACGTTACGAGCATTCATGTGAAGTAGCACTGTTCATCTCTTTCTAATTCCCGCTTTCCCTGTCATTCGTCGCCCAGTCTGTGGCGCATAGAAGCAACGAAAACGCGTGTGCTGTGCCGATCGGTTGTGTGAAATCTGCAGAGAAAGTAGTGGTTTGCTTACACCAGTAGGGTGGAAAGTGTAGGGTTAGACACACCCCATAAATACACATCGACAAAGCGAATGTGGATGGTGTCCAAACGGTGAAATATTGTAGAGCAAGTGCAGCGTCTCGTTGATGTTTATCACAGTGAGGGTGCGGAACAACCATTGAACTATTGGCAGTGACCGAGCAGTGCAAGTGCATCGGACACCCCTTCAGATCAAATTTATTATCTGTAATTAATGGAAACGGGTCGCCCTCGGCCCGAATCGCCGGGTAACCAAAACTTTCAAGCTGGAACTCATGGAATTAGAAAATATAGTTGCAAATACAGTTTATCTAAAAGCGAGAGAGGGTGAGTCGAGTACGATGGCGTTAAGGTTAAGGTTACTATAGTCTTTGTGCGTTTCAGGTGGTTCCGATAGTAATAAGGGAAAAAGTAAAAAGTGGAGAAAGATATTACAGTTTCCACACATTTCTCAATGTATTGACCTTATCAACAAAATAGGTGAGTGAATTTACTCACTTTTGTCTTATTTGTAAGAAGTAATTTTAATGTTATTTACGTTTTATAATACTTATTAACTAACCGAGTACTTGAACTTAAAGGACTTTAACCTATGCTTATAAAGTGAGGTTAGAATTATTATTTGTTTGTTTACTTTCCATTGATAAAATATTTATGATACAGACTAATACTTAAATACATGTTATTACTACTTATTTGTATATTAAAATGAAAATATACATGTTTTAATATTCTCTTAAACATTTAGAGGCTATGGATATCTAATTAAGTGCTATAGCTACATACCTAAACATATATTTTCAATATTAAAAAAGTGTATTTTAATTGCATAGCTTAGCCACAAAATTGTTTTTAAGTCTGTAAATACTGATTTGAGAAATAATTAAGAGCCATTATTACACAGCCTTTAAATTGGTAAGTACATACTTACATAAATTACAACATCAACCTATGCATAAAATAAAATACCTACTTATAAAATAGAAAGTTAAGTGGGTATGCCAAACCAACTTCGTAGGAACTTAATGCCTTCAAACTTAAACTAATTAATAAACAGTCTGTAGACAGTCGCCAACTACTATGGATTATACTATTGTAGTATTGGTTTAACATTTATGAATCTCCATTAATTCACGCTCGTATTTATATAGATAAGAAAATAATTATTTGTTTTATTTTTTCTACAGCAGATTAATTGAATATTTATTAAATATACTATATTGATCTTATTGATTTTCTAATATCTACAGCACCGATGAAAAAAAATATTTAAGTAAACCCCTGCCCTAAAAGAATCAGTCAAGTTTATGAAGGTATATAGTTATGCCTAAAGAAAAATTTCACACTAAGAAAAAATGAACGCAAACAAATTTTAGGTACAGAGTTATTTACATAACATATCCCCGTGATACTTTTGTCTACAAGAAAAAAATGGCAAAGACCAAAGTTTTAGAAATTTTCATGGCAGTCTTGACTTTAAACGAGACCATATAACATTATTGTGGAAACTCTCAAACCAAATAGGTATAGGTACCTATGATAATCAGAAAGTTAAAGGATTTGAAACAACTGCGCACATAGAGGGCATCAGTAAAAATAAGTTTAATTTTATCTCCAACACTAAACATTTAATTCGAGATTTAATTGTTTTTTACGTATATGTCTGAAACCACAACTCGATTTAAGTACATTTATATAAAAACATATATATTTAAATAAATCGTTTAAATTTTACAGGTAGACAACAGAATGTTATTCGAAGCGTTACTGAATACACGCAGTAATGAGTCCCAAGTTTTACAAGTATGTACTTACTAAAAGAAATATATTTCTTTTCAGTCGATACAAAAGAGATTCTTTTTCTCTTTTAAGTCGAAAGTGCAATTTTCGTGTTTAAGACGAAAATATATTAGATACTAAAGATAAAACTAAAAACTAACTAAATTTGCATGTACTTTTGTAAATCACGTAAAACATTTTGCTTGACAAATTTCATCTTCTCGCTCTGTGTGAGAGCGGCAATTTTGAATGGAATACATGTGGTGCTATCTGGAAGAAATAATAATTATGTTCTCGACAATTACGGATTTCCTCAAATTCATCATACCAAAAATTAATTAAATAAATAAATATGATACCTGCTTTAAATTTATCGTATAGAATTTTACATCAGACCTGTTATAGACATTTTGCAAAATGTAGAGAAGTTATACAAAAATTGGTGTTTGGTATTTCTCCAAAACTTTGTCAAGTGGTGGTTGACCATATGTAGTGGAATATTGCTGTAAATTTTGTTTTGTTAAACGTTAAAGTTGCCAGTATCCCAGATTTGTTATTGCTAATGTTGCAATGCCACTGTCTAAAATTATAAATAAAAATTTTGATTTTCACTAGAAACCGACGGGGAAACCTCTGACTGAAATTTGTACATTAAAATATTCTGAAAACGTAATAAATCCTTATCTTCTGCTAGGCAATATTTATTATTAAAACACGCATTTTTTTCATTATTTATTACCCGTGTTACTCAGAAATGATAGAAAAGACAAATATATTTTTTAAATAATTAAAATGAAGAGGTCAACCCAAAAAGAACAATTTACGGACCCACCCACCAGACGCGCTGAAACTTATATAAACCCAGCACTTAATTATTATTCAATATACAAGGTTCTCGGATCGATTTCAAAACGAATACGGTTTTTAAGTTCTTCTAAATCACCTGGTCTGTTTGTGTACACACGCGATTTCAAATAGCCCCACAAAAAAAAGTCTAGAGGTGTTAAATCAGGCGAATGCGGAGGCCACTCGATTGTTCCGCGTCGCCCGATCCACCGGCCAGTAAACGTAAATCAAAATCGACCCGGGAATGTTTGAACGAAGTGTAGACGGCGTTTACACACGCTTAGGACAATGCCAAATGGTACAGGGTTGGCAATTCGAACAATTTCGCTAGACTTACACAAACATTAGGGTAATTTTACTCGTTTGAAATGTAATTTTGTCAACTTTGTCCTTTTCGGAGCCATTAATAGTATAAATAGACAATTATCACTTATAAGAACTTAAGGTGCATTTTTCTAAAAAAAATTGTTATGTAAGACATCGAAATTTTCACATCGTTGTTTAGATAATTATCACTGTCATTAATTTCGAACGAAAAAAATATGCGTTGTCATTTAAAAAAAAAAATTATGTCATCGCTGCCGTAAGTGGATTATCGAAAAAAAAAATTCCACATAACAAGGTGCCCTGGAGCAAATAAAAATCAACGGGTCTCACCGTTTTTCGAAAAAAAAATTGTTTAACGAAAATATGAATTTTATGCAGAACTTTTTTACCACGCTGTATATAATTTGTTCAAATTCTTCTTTGTGTTTGATCATTATCATTATCATTCACCCAGTATTCCAGTATTATACATCGTTGAACTCGAAATTTAATGCTTCATATGGTGGTTCAAAAATTCAGTATGGTGTCCATAAGAAAATCGAAAGTTGACTATGAAAACAAAAATCTAGGAGGCCTGGAAAATATTATACTACGTATACGTCTCGATTTCCATTACTCTGCTTTCAATAATAAAAAAGATATGGAAGAAATGCCAAGTTTTCTGTTTTTTTTTTTTCAGGATATTTCAGGAGTAGTGCAACTTTTATACGACTGCTTTTCTTAATGTGCTACTTGAAAACTTAACTTCGATTAAGTTAAAGGGTATTTATTTATACCGAGTATCGAGAACCTACAAAAACATTAATGCGGTACCAGGTGTCCAAAATAAGCAACGATACTGGTCATAGTGAAATACGTTATTTTTTATTTATTTATGTATTTAAAAAAATGTTTAGGTATATTTTCTGTATGACCAACAATTTTTCAAGCTTGATTCCGTTATAAAGAACATTTTTTACATCATACGTTTACTTAATTTAACTCATTTTGATGTAACTAAGTATATCGTGATACTTCGTGATATTACGTATTCTTTATCATTATACGATTTATAAGATGGTAGATGGACAAAACTCGGAGAGGACTCCAATTAGTAGGGACAAAAAAGAGAAAGAAGATGAAAATTTGCTAATGACACCTAAAGTGACCCGATTTTTTAAAACAACTCTAAATTTATTCAGAATAAAAATATTACCTACAGATTCAAAAAATTAAAGTTAAGGAAATCATTATGTTACTCAAAAAATATATTTTTAGTAAATTTTATCGGATTTTTCTTTTGAATGAGTTATAGTGGCAATGTAAACTCAAACAATAATGATACAAATTTTAAAATATATTGTCAGAAATTTAGTTAGACTTTAAAAAAGACTTTTATTTTTCCTTTGGATTTTTCACGTTTTAATATAAAATAGTTCTAGCCTCGGTTCTAGCATTATGGAATTAAATTAAATAACTTTATTAAGTAAATCATATTTAAATTCTCTATCTTTACCAATTCCAAATTAGAATATATTCGGTAAAATCGAGGGTAAAATAATTAAGTGCCCTTAAAATTCGAACAAATTATAGGTAGTCGGAAGTAATAAGTACTTAAAGAAATAACAGTTTTATTTTCTGACTAGACTAACTTTTCGATTTATTTTAAATCTTCCTCGGGGCTGATAAGACAAAACAATTACTACCGAAACTGAATGATCTCGCCTTAAACACTTGATGCTTTAAAATATTTTCCCTTGCTAATATTATTTACTAAATAGGCAATTTTTTTAGCCTGACCAGTTGCATTTGTGCACCGTCCGTTTTCTTTGTTAACCATTTTGTCTATTATCCCTGAAGGATATTTAAAATAAATCGAAACGTTGACCTAGCAGAATATAAAACTGTTTTTCTTCATACCTACTTATTTCCGACTACCTACATACTTACTTCTGTAAGTATATTTTATGAAAATATACTTACAGAATCTGTAAAATATACAAAAAATTTAAAGGCATTTAAATTAGAAATAAAAAAAATAAGAACAAAGAATCGCGACTTAAAAAACAAAATCCATTTGTTTTATTAAACAGACATAATTGTTATAAACATTGATCATTGCTATTATTAAAGCCCGTATAGTTTGATTAAAGTTTCTTTTTGACAAAAGAATATGTGTAAAATTCAAAGAAAATAAGGTTTGTCTTTTATTTCTTAACATCTAGATAGATAGATGGGTATACGAGATATATGTGTAATAGATAGGAATCTAAAAATTACGTTAATAAAGAACATATTATTACGTTAAATGTAATTTGAAAATCGAAATTAAAAATTCAAATTCTAACTCAAAACATTTGTTTTGCAAACCCATATTTTTATAAAAGACCTATATAGATATATATATTCTTTCTATTTGAAAAGCTACATCGGAAGGAGGATAAAAGCATAAACAAGAAATACGACACAAGCAAGCTATTTTTTACTAAAAAGAAATAACTGCCTGTTATTCTCGAAAAAAAAAATTTGAAAATAGGAAGGAGACTTTT